TAAGGATATATATATAGGATATAATAAGAATAGATATAGGATATAAATATAAAGGATTCAAATATTACAAAACATTATTTTCTAGCCTACATATATATGAAAAAACACTGCTTTTATGTTTTCTTCATCTTTTTTAGTTCATTCATAACAATTTGCTTTTGTATAATGTTATTATTATTAGCAGTATTATTTATTATATCCATATTAATATTTAATATAGCTTAGATTTGCCCACCTGTCAGGTTTTAGACCATATGGGGCACAGCATGTGTATTAGGATATAGCTCAGGTTTTTGAACACACTTTGTTATTATTGTTTATTCATTCGTTTGCTGAATATTAGAACTGAGTTTAGAAATAGTTTTGAAACTAATATTTGCGCTTAACAAATATTATTTATTTATTTTTAGACTAATTGATGTCTGTGCGTAAAGGTTTCCGTATCCAAGAGTGAAAGTAGATCCATTATCTCTCATTCTCATGCAGAATCTCCAGAAATGTACATAGGGCTATGTTTTCAGAAGAGCAATGGAATTCTGCACTGAAATGAACTGCTTTTAGGTGGCTTTCACTTCATTTATTTTGTTTTAATAGCAATATAATAGTAAATACAAACATGTTAAACAAATCATAAACAGGTAGGTGATAAAAATGTATTTGAAATTGATGTTCAGTTCCAGATTGGAGTTTGAACATGGTTATTTTAGTTCAATTACACAAAACTATAATAAATCACACTCAACTTAGTGTGATATGGCTCTATACTGTAGCAGCACAGATGTGGTTTGGTCGTAGTTGATGACAGCTGTGCTGTTAGAGCTGTATCGCATGGAGAAGAGTGTGACATTGCATCAATTAAACAGTTTGACGGCACAAGTGTTTAAAAGAAACAACCACTGAGTGTCTTAAAACTCCTTATGTGTGAGGAACAGCTTTCCTCTGCCAAGAATTTGAATCTCAAGTTGACACTGCAAAACCTGAGTAAAACCCCTATTGCTTATTCGAAAATGTCAGTTTAGGACCAGCAATGAACAATTTAGAGAAACTTCATTTGAAGTTAATAGCTTAATGTAATATGTAGAGCATTATGAAATAGAGGGAGATTAAAAGAGTGGGTCTGATTTTCTATATATGGATTCACTCTCCAGGTCAGTATCTAGCTTGTTTCAATTGCTTATTTGCAGATATTAGTGTGGAATATTTGCAGATGAAAAATGAATTTCCATGTTTTTTTTTTTTTTTTATTTATTTTTATTTTTCTTATTGTATTGTTAATCAGTTGGCTTTCATAAATACAAATACATGTATTATTTTAATATTTACTTTTTTCACATGCCACATTTACAGCTGAATATGTGGATGGATGCATTTTTATTGTAGCTTCAAAAATAATTTCCGTTTAGCAAATCCTTTTAATGTATATTAAATAATGTTTTTTTTTAAAGAAGTATATATATATATATATATATATATATATATATATATATATATATATATATATATATATATATATATATAATTTTTTTTATTTAATTATTTTTTTAAATGCTTATTTCTCCCGCAGTCCAAAGACATGCGCTATAGGGGAATGACTGAGAATAAGGATGTATGGCTTTTTCTTGATGGGTTATTCTGCTGTGACAAATTAATAAAGTGACTAAGCCAAAAAGAAAATAAATGAAAGAAAGAGTTTCATTAAATATGCAACACAATTTGAGTTTTCAGTTTGCACTGATTTTAAAATGTTTTTTTTTTTTTTTTTCATACTTCTATTTTTCATTCCTAAGAGAAACTGGGTGAGAACCCCACATTCCTACCACTTTCTACTTCAATTTCAAGAGAAAACTGCCTAAATCTAAGCACACAATTGGTGTAACCATTCTTTCGTTCACTGTGCTCCTCCATCTATATTCCAGGGTTGCCACATTTTAATTGAAGATCCAGAAAGGTCGTCTGCATAATTCTTGAGTAAGCTTGACCTTTATGTAAAAGTGGATCCAGATGAAAAACCTAGCTTGTGTCATGGTCTCTTAATGACATTCAAGACTACTGGAATTCATCAAGGAGATCTGTGGCTCCTGATTGGCTGTCTTTGGTAAAGCATGTAGCGGGAGCACAGATTGAGATGAGAGAGTGGTGCAATCATGACTGACTTCAATATTGACAAGGACGTATGGGAAGATTGAGTCACAGAGAGGCAAATACAAAGATAATAAAACCATTCATCATTGAAGAGGTTTGTGTATTATTCCTCCTTTTCAAAGCCTTCGAAACCCTTCATGAACATTAACAATGTGATTGGAATGAAATTCCTTAAATATTTTTCAGTACTATTGGCCATAACTATATTTTATTAAACTTTAGAAATGATCATTCATTTCTATGTACTATTTACCAGTGACAAGGGACTCAAGTCATATAACTTGCCTCGAGTCAGATTTGAGTCGCAAAATTTAGGCCTTGAGACTTCCTTGACATATATTCAAAAAAGACTTGACTTTAACTTGACTGTAATAACTTGTTTTTGTTAAATATATAACCGTTTGATATATACAATATGCATTCTTTAAAAAAAAAAAAAAAAAAAAAAAAAGAGAGTGACGCTTGCGCATTATTATCAGCTCATTGCTTCCCAGATCGATCTGAAATATAGGTTCTCTGAACTGTTCCCAATAAAGCACTGCAACTAATTTCCTGACTCGAGTTGATGTTTTTTAAGTAAGTGAATAACTCAGGATATAGTCAGAAGAAGTGCCAGCCAAGTTAAAACGTAAGTAACTTTAAGTAATTGGTGGATTAGTGTTTACTGGAAATACAAACCATTTTAAAAGAATCAGTAAGATTTGATGAACTGGATCAATCGGTTCATTAAGAAGAACTACTTTAAACGATTCATTAGATTCATTAGAAAGATTAATGTAGTGTTCTCGTGCAGTGTGTTGTGACTGACTAAACACCGAGTTAAACCATAGCCAATGAAGACAGAGTCGTAGCAAGTTTGATCATTTACTGTCACTCTTCTTATTAGCATTTATGGTGAAAACTGCAACAAAAATAACAAAACAATTCTCAGAAATTGAGTTTTGACAGGTATTTCCACTCACATATACATAACATAAACAGACTACAGTTCTCCCTGCAGTAGGAATTACACTAGCAAACAAAGTTATTAAATGTTGTATTTTTTACAAAATAATCACTAATATAAAGTCTTCAACATGTCTAATGTGCAAAACATAAACTTACGGCATTGCCTCTATGATGAGTTTAAGCGGATGGCTTAGATTGTCCGAGAGAGCGCATGTCTGACATGGCTTCCACAAAGAGCCAGGAACACTAACAGGAAGTGACTAAACAGGAAGTATGATATAATGCAAAATAAAAGTATTCCTTTTTACACACGAAGTAGATTAATTAAATAAATTATGAATTTCACATTTTAACAAAGGAACTATGTATATACAATATTTAAAGAAGATATTTTAAAGTGAAACTTCTTAAAGGGCAACACACTCCCCGCCTGACCTATGTAAGGTCACTATGAACTTCTGGGCCATACACTAATCTCCAGATCAGTCTTTGGGTAGAAGCAGAACGACCTCTGAAATGGGCCTTAGAAAGGTTTTTATATTCCCTTGGTCAGTTGTTGAAACCTCAACCTTTCTTACATATCCATCCTTTCCTGGGAATACAGCAGAGACTCTGGCCATGGGCCAACAGTTGCGGGCTATCTGCTTATCCCTGAGCAGAACTAGATCTCCCACTTGAAGGTTTCTGCGAGGTACTGTCCACTTCGGTCTGTGTTGCAAGCAAGGTAAGTATTCACGGCTCCAGCGTGTCCAGAACTGGTTTGCAAGCGCCTGAACTTGTCTCCATTGCTTTGTATACAGGTCCTTGTCAGAGAAATCTCCAGGGGGAGGTGGAACTCCTGTTTTCTGTGTAAGGAGCACTGAAGGTGAAAGTATGAATGGTTGTTGCGGGTCTGCAGACACTGGTAAGAGTGGCCGTGCATTAATAATAGCAGTAACTTCTGCTAGTAGTGTGCAAAGAACTTCATGGGTTAAGCGAGCTTTTAGCTGCAGAAACATTGAATCTAAAATTCTTCTTGCAATGCCAATCAGGCGCTCCCATGAGCCTCCCATGTGCGAGCTGTGAGGTGGATTGAATTCCCAATTGCATCCTTGCTCGCTGAGATACCTCTGTACCATCTTGTCCATTCCAAGTTCCTTGCATGCCCCAACGAAATTAGTACCGCAATCGGAGCGGAGCTGTTTTGCAGGACCTCTTAATGCAAAGAACCGCCTGAGAGCATTTATGCAACTTGATGCATCCATAGATTCAATGACCTCGATGTGCACAGCTCTCGAGCTCATACAGCCAAACATGATTGCCCACCTTTTGCTCTCTGCCTGTCCTCCTCTGGTGCGTCTGGTAGTGACAGACCAGGGTCCAAATACATCAAGCCCCACGTATGTAAAGGGAGGGCAGATTTTGAGACGTTCAGATGGCAGGTCCGCCATGTGCTGCTCTTCAAACTTTCCACGCAGCTTGCGACAGGTTATACATTTGTGAAGTACTGAGTTTATTAGCGACTTGGCTCCTAAGATCCACAGTCCTGCTGCCCTGATTGCTCCCTCTGTCAGATGACGGCCTTGATGTATTACTTGCTCGTGATGATGTCGAATGAGCAGCAAAGATGTGTGGCTTTCTTTAGGGAGAATTATCGGGTTCTTTTCGGCAGTTGATATCTCAGAGTGCTTTAATCTTCCTCCAACACAAATGAAATTACTCTCCATGATTGGATTGAGTTTACGCAAGCGGCTGCTTTTGGATACAGGTTGATCAGCTAGCAGTGCTGACAGCTCTTTTGCAAATGCAGCTTTTTGTGTTGCTTTCAGTACAACATTCCTTGCTTGGTCCATCTCATCTGGAGTACGTGGTAAGTCACATTTGTGCCAACCCTTGCAGTTGCTGTTTTGGTTTGAGTGTTTGAAGGATTTTGCGACATGAACTAGAAGCGCTACTCCTCTTACTAAAGAGGTGAAGGTGGAGAATCTTTGAAATCTGGTAGATATAAGTCCAGCTTCCTCCAGGTAAGTAGCACATGTTTGGATTTGAGGACGAATTTCTGCATCATTCTCAGGCTCAATTAGCTCAAACATTTTACTTGATTTTGTTTTTTCTGCAGGTGGCTGTTGAAGGAAGGAGGGACCGGTGAACCAGGAAGTCTGCGCCAGGCATGATGCAGGTAAGGATCGCGACGCATGATCTGCTGGATTTTCCTCAGTACGTACATAGTGCCATTGCTCAGGTCTTGAGGACTGTCGGATGCGCTGGACTCTATGTGAACATACACATAGAATCGCTTTGACTCATTATAAATGTAGCCAAGGACCACTTTGCTGTCTGTAAAGAACTTTATGTCATTTAATTCCAGATCTAGCTCATCCTTAATGAGATCTGCCATCTCAACTGCTAAGACAGCAGCACACAGCTCAAGCCTGGGAATCGTAGGTTCAGACAGGGGTGCTAGTTTCGCCTTGCCCATAACAAACCCTACTTCAACTTGCCCATCTTTCTGAAGCACTTTCAGGTATGCCACAGCACCTATGGCCTTGGTTGATGCATCAGAGAACACACACAATTCTGTATGCACTGCTTCAGTTAGTGAGGTTTTAGTGTATGTACGTGAGACGTGAAGCTTTTCTAGCTCTTGAAGAGAACTTCTCCAGGCCACCCATTTGTTTAGTTTGACCTCCGGAAGGGATGTGTCCCAGTCTGCACTTTCAGAGGTAAGTTCTCTAAGAAGGGCTCTTCCCTGGATCGTGACAGGTGCCAGTAGACCCAGAGGGTCAAAAACACTGTTGACAGTGGAGAGAACTCCACGACGGGTGAATGGTTTGGTAGTGGTGGATGTGGAGTAGGTGAATGTGTCAGTTGAGATCTCCCATAACAGACCTAAACTCCGTTGTGTGGGAGAAGTTTCTCCACTCAGATCTAAGTCCTTAATCACTGGAGCACAATCTTCAGGAGGAAAAGCTTCCATAACAATCTGAGAGTTTGAAGCAAACTTGTGCAAACGTAGGTTTGACTCAGCTAATGAAGCCTGTGTTCGTTGGAGCAAATCGATAGCCTCAGCTTCAGATGGTACAGATACCACACCATCATCGACGTAGAAATGTCTTTCCACAAACTTTATGGTATCTTCACCATGATCTTTTGCACCTTCTCTGATGGCTCTCCGTAGTCCGTAAATTGCCACGGCAGGTGATGGACGATTGCCGAAGACGTGGACATTCATTCGATACTCAATAATTTCCTTGTTGACATCGTTGTCCTTGTACCATAGGAAACGGAGAAAGTTGCGGTGATCATCACGCACCAAAAAACAATGAAACATTTGCTGAATATCAGCTAGGATTGCAACCCTCTCTTTCCGAAAACGTAGCAGGACACCAACAAGGGAATTATTCAGGTCAGGGCCAGTGAGGAGCACATCATTGAGAGAGACACCAGAGTAACAAGCACTAGAATCGAAAACCACTCTGATCTGATTGGGTTTTTGGGGGTGGTAGACCCCAAATGTGGGAAGATACCAGCACTCATCCTCTTCTTTTAGTGGTGGTGCTACCTCAGCATGTCCGTTGGTAAAGATCTTTTCCATGAATTCCACATACTGTTGCTGCATCTCAGGTTTTCTCTTGAGGGTTCGTTGCAGGCTTGAGAATCGATTAATAGCTTGCTCCTTGTTGTTTGGCAAGCGTTGGCGTGGTTCTCTGAATGGTAGAGGAGCTACCCAGCTGTTAGATTCATTTCTGAAGACATTTGTGTCCATAATTTTCAAGAAGGTTGTGTCCTCCACAGAAGGGGCAGGTTTATTGTCATGCTCGGTTTTGCAAAACACTGTCTGTCCAAGTGTCATCTCAGTTGCCTTTTTAAACACACTGCTCTGTTGTTTCTCTCTGACCTGCATAAAGCTTGTACAGGGTTGAAAAATTGAGTGACGACCAGTTTCCAGGACACTGGTTTTAAATGTGTTAACTGTGGGCTTGTGTACATTACCCAGGCACACCTCTCCTATTACCACCCATCCCAGGTCCAGACGTTGAGCAAACCTGGGGGCGTTGTTTGGTCCGTTGACCTGCTGCCTGACCTTGTGTGCTCTAATCACATCTCTTCCTAGCAGCAAAAGTATTTCTGCTTCTGGTTCTAGGTCTGGAATGTACTTGGCAATGTGTCGTAGATGAGGCTGGTGAAGAACTGCATTTGGAGTTGGAATTTCAAACCGATTGTTCATGATTTCATGACACTCAATGAGTGGTGGAAGAGATATGAGAACTCTGCCATCCAGAGACTCAATCTGGAATCCTTCTGCTTTCCTGCCAGATGTTTCTACAGTTCCAGAGCAAGTTCTAAGATTATATGTGAACGGCTCACTCTCCAAATTGAACAGCTCAAAGAATTCTGGTCTGGCTAATGAACGGTTGCTCTGGTCATCCAGAATTACATAGGCTTTTATGGCCATGTCCTTGTTACCCTTTGGGTACAGCTTTACAAGGCAGATTTTTGAACATGAGCGACCCCACTGACCAGGACCACAAACCTCCGTGCAGCTTGTATTGACAGACGTCATATCAGAATTATCCTCTCCCTCCCCGCCGTCCTCTTGTGATGGTGGAAGAGATTTGACTACTTGAGGCGACGGGCCAGGGTGCATCGCTGTATCATGATTAGTGCTGTTGCATTCAAAACATTTCACAAAAGACTTACATTCCTTGGCGTGATGAGAAATTGAGGAACAGCATTTAAAACATATTCCTTTCTCCTTAAGGAAGGCTTTTCTGTCATCAAGGAGTTTGTTTCTGAATGTTCTGCATTTTTTCAATGGGTGTGGTTTATTGTGTAATGGACAGATTTTGTTAGGGTCTTCCTTGACTGCACACACATCTGTTTTGTGAACAGAGATGGGTTTGTTGGTGTGAAAACTTTTCCCAGTGAATTTGTCTGATTTAACAGTTGTCATAGCACTGCTTTGATACATAAAGCTAGGGTCATTTCGCTTCTTCGCTTCATGACACACAAAGCTGCAAAAATAGTCAAATGGAGGAAAACGGCCATGACTTTCTTTATACCATGACCCCGAAGTCACCCATTTGTCCTGAAGCCCATACGGAAGTTTATCTACAATTGGTGCAATCCCACGTGAGGTGTCAAGGTACAATAGGCTTGTGAGATAACCATCTTCTTTAGCACCTTGGATTTCCATAAGCAAATCTCCGAGTTCACGTAATTTGATGTGGTCTTTAGCTGTGATCCGAGGAAAACTGTCCAAGCGCTGAAATAGTGACCTTTCAATGATTTCTGGTGCAGCATAGCACTCCCGTAGTCTTTCCCATGCCTTATACAATGCAAGATTGGGATTGCTGACATGCACTGAACGGATGCGCCTCACCATTTCACCAGATTCCCTCCCAAGCCATTTAGTCATGAGGTCCAGTTCCTGGGTTGCTGTGAGGTTAACTTCACGAGCTGCACTTGTGAATGAAGAACACCATGATCGATAATTCTCAGGCTTATCGTCAAATTGGTACAGTCCTGAACAAACAAGATCACGTCGTGCTAAATACTGCGCCAAAGGCTCTGCCTGGGGTGGCGTGCTAGTTTGAGGAATGCACTGAGGAATATATGGCTTCGCATGTATGTTCATAGAGGGGTTTGTCCTGTCAACTTCAGATTTTATAATACCCGTGGATGGACTAGACAGGTTTGCAGCAGGTAAGTGTACAAAATCAGCATCCTGATACTTTGGCTTGTCATTAATAGATTGTTTATGTGGAGGGTCTTTTAATGGAGGACTCCATGTTATGAAGCTGTTGTCAGCATGAGATGCTGGAGCGTTAGGCAAGGCTGAAAAGCTTGCAGAGGGTAAATGACTTGTAAGGTTTAATTGAGAATTTACATATTCACTTGTGCGTTCAATTTTTACTTTCTCTTCGGATTCTTCTTTTTCAGCTGCAGCATGCATTTCTATTTCAGCATCTTCCAGTACTTGTGCCTCAACAGCAGCTACATCAGCTTCTCGTTGTAGTGTTAACACTTCCAGTTCAGTGTCTAATTTTACTGTTTCTAGCTGATTTTGCGCTTCTCTTGTGGCCTTTTCTATCTTCAGTTTAGCCTCTTGGCTAGCGTATGATGCTCTGACTTTAGCAGCTTCGGCTCTGGCCCGAGCACGGGTTACACTCTCTGATGAAGCAGATGACTTGCCACTTCTAGCACTGCGCACAGACGACTTGCTGCTTGCGGACATCTTGACCACTTTCACATCAAAGCTGCCTTTTCACTGTAGTGTTCTCGTGCAGTGTGTTGTGACTGACTAAACACAGAGTTAAACCATAGCCAATGAAGACAGAGTCGTAGCAAGTTTGATCATTTACTGTCACTCTTCTTATTAGCATTTATGGTGAAAACTGCAACAAAAATAACAAAACAATTCTCAGAAATTGAGTTTTGACAGGTATTTCCACTCACATATACATAACATAAACAGACTACAGTTCTCCCTGCAGTAGGAATTACACTAGCAAACAAAGTTATTAAACGTTGTATTTTTTACAAAATAATCACTAATATAAAGTCTTCAACATGTCTAATGTGCAAAACATAAACTTACGGCATTGCCTCTATGATGAGTTTAAGCGGATGGCTTAGATTGTCCGAGAGAGCGCATGTCTGACATGGCTTCCACAAAGAGCCAGGAACACTAACAGGAAGTGACTAAACAGGAAGTATGATATAATGCAAAATAAAAGTATTCCTTTTTACACACGAAGTAGATTAATTAAATAAATTATGAATTTCACATTTTAACAAAGGAAATATGTATATAAAATATTTAAAGAAGATATTTTAAAGTGAAACTTCTTAAAGGGCAACACAATTAATTTGCTATTTGGCCATCAGATGATGACAGAAAATGAAAGGCGCTCCGCCAAAGATATTTCAATTCGGGTTTAAAGATTACAAGCAATACAATGCCAAAAAGAAAAGATCAGCAACATGCAAAGCATGCATCTCAAAAATCAACAATTCAATTACTACTACTTCTACATTCATTCAACACTTCAAATCACATCAAAAATTATAAGTTACAAAGATAGTTCTGCTGTTTTTAGCTTATTGGCTAATCAAAATTTATATTATATTATATTATATTATATTATATTATATTATATTATATTATATTATATTATATTATATTATTTTAATGGCTGCCCAAGTATATTAAGTGACTTTTAAGTATTATTATTATTTTACACTACATTGTATCCGCCTAATATAACCAAACATCCACAATCAGATCATTTGTAATAAAAGAAAAATCTACAAAAAAAAAAAATAATAATAATAATAATAAATGATTGACTTGAAAGTGACTTGCTAGATCCAAGCTAAAACTTGACATAAATCTGACAAAAAATGACTTGTCTTGGTTGAAGACTTGAAGGTTACGACTCAACACTTGCTTGTGACTTGCACATTTATGGTTTACTCTCATGTCTGCTAAGTAAATTTTTGAAATTCTGGAAACTGAACTTAAAAAAGCAGAAATTTTACATAAATAATTTATAATAAATACATTTTCATCCAATAATAAAGCAGTTTATTAGCCAAAAACATTCAGTCCATTTTTTTTTCTTTTCTTTTTTTTTTTTTTTTTTTTTTTTGTTATTTCCATAAATACTATTGACTTTTTCTAGATTATGCTAAACTGCACTTTTTTTTTTTTTTTAAGGGACACATTAGTCTTAGTCCAGGCAACCATAAAACATGCAACACATTCACCTACTCAAAAAGGAAATTAACTAAAGCCAATATGTGCATTTTCTGGTCATTTACCAGGAATTTCCAAAGGAGTTTCACTAATACCCACAGTGCCACTCTTCTGTAACAGTGGGAAACTAAAGCGCTTCGTTTTCCAGCTTCGATCCGAGTCCCCATGACCGTCCATTAACCCCGCTTCCCAGGTCTCCTTAATACCACTCTGGAGTTCTTCATTTACCCATAACAAACCACAGATTATTATTGCGCAGTAGATGGACTCCTGGACTGGAAAATTACAAACTGCAGCCTCCACTGCCTTTCCATTCAGGCTGGTCATGTAAACCTGGGAAATGGCTCTAATCAAGGAAGGGATTATTTCTTTTATGAGCGAAAATACTATCGAGCCTAGTGATGCTAGATAGAAGGCCGGGTGTTGGTGAATTAGTCTTTTGTTTGTGCGTGTGTCATCGCCCCATGTGCGTCCATGTAATTTCTCTGTCATCTGAATGTACATTTGAATGTAGTACATGACAGTCTTTTGTCAGCACTGTGGCAAGACCCGTCTCATTGATGTGGTTGGTAATTATGGCAGAATACCACACAGAGAGTCCTGCTTACACTTACTGACACACATAAGCAACAAATCACACATCAGGGCTTTCCTCGCTCGCTTTAATAGTTTAATTTCCCTCTACCAGGCACAGTTTGTACAATGGCTCCATTTGGTGGAGTCCCATATGATTGCTCCATGGTCAAGCTGAGAAGATTATCTCATGTCTGTTTAATGGGAAACTCAGCCATCTGTTTGTGTGTGTACATGTAGATCATCTTAGCGCAGCGCTTGCTTCATTTTACAAGCTAATAGCTTCAGCACCACACAATGACCTTGAACCTTAATTTCAGAAGCAGAGACCATGAAATGGCTTAGCCACTTTTTTCCCTATCTTATCGACCAGTAATCACCAAGAATTAAAATATATCTTTGTAGTTGTAGGCATAGTATGACATGCCATATGAAAAATAATGAGCCACTAAGAAAATATTAGGCATGTAACTGAGGAAATGGTGGCAGAGTGGGTAGAACAATCGACTCACAGCAAGAAGGTCGCTGGTTCGAGAGGCTCGGCTTGGTCAGTTGGCATATCTGTGTGGAGTTTGCATGTCTCCCTGTGTGGCGTGAGTTTCCTCTGGGTGCTCCGGTTTCGACACAAGTATATATAACATGCAGTACAGGTGAATTGAATAAGCTAAATTATTCGTAGTGTATATGTGTGAATGAGTGTGTATGGATGTTTCCCAGTGATTTGTTGTGGCTGGAAGGGCATTCGCTGCTTAAAACATATGCTGTATAAGGTGGCTTCGGCGACCCCGGGATAATAAAGGGATTAAGCCCAAAAGAAAATAAATTAATTGATAAAAATCTTGGACCTTATTCTTGAACCAAAAAAAAAAACAAAAACGTTTTGAATAACAATTATTTGAACAATCGTTTGGCTGTTGTTGTCATCCATGAATTTTACAAGAGAGGCTAAAAAATATATATATATATATATATATATATTCTGACTTAACTGTGGTTACTTTGTTATTTGACAATGACAACAGGCAACAGACTTTAACTTTTTTTTTTTTCTAATTATTAATGAAATAGTAAATTTGTCTTTTAAAAATAAGTATTTTCATATTTTTAATTGTAAATATTTAGGAAATATTTTTGGTACATTATAATGTGTGTTTATGATGACCATCTGACAATCATTCATTCATTGATTTTCTTTTCGGCTTAGTCCCTTTATTAATCCTGGGTCATCGCTGCCGAATGATCCGCCAACTTATCCAGCACATTATGCAGGGGATGCCCTTACAGCTGCAACATATCTCCAGGAAACATCTGACAATCTAGTTCAGCTAAAATTTGTGCTTAAAGTGTAACCGACTACTACTTCTTAAATCCAACAACGCAGAAAACGGTCTTGCGTTCTTGTGGAGACCGGTCTTGCCAGGTGTCCTCAGAAGAACGAACTCAGGAGACCACAAGAACAGAAAACGCCTCTTGTGAGAAATTAGATGTTGTGTTCCTGATGGTCAAGTGACCTTCACGTATTTTAAATGGAAAATTATTTAAACAGGACAGCCTTCATACAATGATTTATTGTTTTTACCATTTTCAAAATATATACTATGCATAAAAACATTATAAATATATGTTGCACAATACAAATAACACATATTTTAGCAAACAAACAACCTTAATGTGTTTATTATTAGATTATTAAGATTTTAATGATAGAGTTTACTTTCACTGTTTCATTTAGGAAAACTCCTGAGGTAAATAAGTTATATCTCTGAACTTTAATAATAAATCTAAATAAAATACTGCGCTTCCCACCTCCAGTCGCAATGACTTCTGGGACTTCTAGAGTGAGATTTGTGCTCAAGTCTGCATCGGTGCGTCCTCGATTTCAAGAACACAAAGTTTGTGTTCCTGTTCTTGCGGTCTTGAGTATTAGAACTGAAGTTTGGCAGTAGATGATGACATTACACGAGAACACGAAGAAGCAAGACCGTATGCATATTGAAAACAGACACTATGTCACACCCCTGCTCACCCAGTCACCTCACAAACTACATCCATCCAATCCCATGAACCCTCATTGGCCATCTAATCACCTGCACCTGTTCCCCGACATCAAGGGCACTATAAAAGCTCACCTTATCCTCTCACTCATCAGCTGGTATTGAAGTCAGATGGTTGTCTTCACCTTCACTCCTTCAGCTTCTCTTCTTCCATGGATGTTCCTTATGTGCCTTATGAATCCTTCACACTGATCAAGGGAAGTGTTTTCTCTTATGGTGTTTACTAGAAGATCTCCTGATTGCCTGATAAACGCTGTCTGTATACTCACCTGCTGATGTTCTCAAGAACTATATGTTAAATCGCTAACACAAGATGTTCACATTACAAGCTGTTAAAGAAGATTAACAGCTCTGACACTTCCTCACTTATATTGAGTGCATTGTTTTGAATTAAACTGATAAAAGATAGCATTCTTTGTCTATCATTGTGACACACTAAAACACAGTATTTAAACATCATAATTTAATAGAAAATGAGGCATATAACTGCAAAAAAAGGTCCACCCTTTCACCAGGCTGGCTTTTGCAAAGGCAGATTTTCGTCATATGTTATGTACAATTGCCATAATCATCAGAAAACCCATTTTTTACGCCTATAATTGCCAATATAAGAAATTCTCGAATTTTTAGAAGGAGCCAAAAACGAAATACAAAATAGCAGTAAAATAGTCAGAGGAGGGGGCGTTTTTAAATGTTGTTTTATTGGAACGTTTTAGCTTAAACCTCCAAAGGCCTCATGAAGCTTGTTGTGTTTTCCCAGCATTCTCTGGGGATATAGAAGTGAGAGGATTTTTATTCTCACTTTTCAGACTTTCCTGGCTTTTAGTCCATTTAGCACACAGCCATATGTAAGCCCTGTCTAGGAGAGGTGAGAAAAAGCAAGTCCTTTCCCAGGGAAGAAAAAAAAGAAAAATAAGCAAAAGTTTACACATAAAACCCTCTGGGAGAGGAAAAAGTTGAGACATTAAGGATAGCCACTTTAGCAATTCATTATCCCTTAAATCTCAGAACGTCCCACCTGCTAATTAATTTAATGACATTAATATGTCGTTACAAAGGCGAGAAAGCTTTTGGGTAGGAAAGAAATTAGGAGGAAATGAAGAGAGGGGGAAAAAAGGGAAAGAATAAAGGAGTAACCTCTGGGGTGTCGTGGCTTAAGGCAACCTTTCCTGCAGCCCTGCAATTCACGGTGCATGTAATTAGAAAGGGAGAAGGAGACTTGTATGACTCCTGCATTTAATATCCTGATCTCCGGCTGTGCATATGATGTACGTCAGACAGATAGAAAGAAGGCGAAATAGAGAAAAAAAACGCACTGTGAACAGGCCAAATTAAGATTTATTTGAGCATACCAGGGGTTGCTTGAAATCCATTTAGATATTCAATGGCTGATTCTGCGCCTTGGAGTCACCCTTGCAGATCATATTAAAATCCAGACCTTGCCACTTTCACTTCATCTATTTGAGAGACATATCAGGTT